GAGATCTGGGGAAGGCTGGCTCCACCCAGGGATGCTTCGGGGGGACCGCCCCACCAGCTCCTCCGGAGCAGGGTCCTCGCCCTGCCGCGGGGTCTTGTGGCAGACACCCAGGGACGCGGCGCCCGCGGCCCCCGCGGGAACAGCCGGGCTGTGCGTGAGGCACTGCTTCTCTCCCTCGCTCCCCTCTGGTGTCTCCCTCCCTCTCCAGCCTGCAGAGCAACCTATTGAATTCTCCATGTCCTCGGGCCCGGAGCGTGCATTTCCATGACGTCTCTTCTGTCTGCCCTCGCAGCACACAGGGGCTGTCCCCCTCCGAGTCACTCCGGGGTGGGCAGCTGCCTCTCTGCCAGGAAAGCAGAGGAGACGGGAGGCTCCTCACCTCAGGTTTCCTGCGATGCCAGCCTCCGTCATACAGAGGGCTGATCGCTGGGAAAGTGTGTCAGGAGAGGAGAGGAGAGGAGAGGAGAGGAGAGGAGCTGGGTTTCGGGGAAACGCAGGGAGACCTGAACCGGGGAGGGCAGTGGGGCAGGTGGAGGAGCTAGCATCCATAGGGTAGGTGTGAGCAGAAGTGCTGGAACCATGGGGACCGGCACATGTGGACATGTGTAAGGCCGACAGAGAGAGGCCAGGGCTGAAAAAGCAGGGGCCAGGGGCCAGGGAGCTGAGGAGCAGATCCCGTGGCAGGCTGAAGCTGCTAGGGAAGAGGGTAAAGCAGGGAGAAGCAAGGCATGCACGCACTAGTAACGGGGAATGTCACAAAGCCTCACTTTTCATGCCATCCAAGTCGGCAGATGCCAGCATCTGGGCCTCAGCCTCATCTGTGGGGACTCGCTGGTATGCCGCGCTCTCCAGCGTGGTCATGCTGCCGATGCACATCCTCTCCTTCAAGTCATAAGTAACTCGTTGTCCGCTCACGACCTGGCCCCAGGGCCTGCGCTTCTCCCACCCACGAGACAGACGTTCTCGAGGCCCAGGGACGCTGTAGGAACCAAAGAGACTGATGGTAGCAAACAGTGTGAATAAGGATGGCCACTGGCCCCTCAGGGGTGGAGGTCCCTTGGTCCAGCCCTGACCATGAAGTCCTTGAGAAGGAGCAGAGCCAGGAGTCAACTATCTCAAAAGTAAAAGATTGCCCACTGTGCTCCTCCTCTCCCACAGAGCAGAGTGGGATCAGTTTGTGGCCAGTGATGGGGACCCACCTGTGAGTCAATGGCCTCACAGGCCACTGACTTGGCCGAGCCTCCTGGGGCTTCCCAGCCTGCAGGTCAGCACGACACTGCAAGTTAGCTGGGAGGAAGGGTGCTCCAGGTGTGCAGCCAAGTGCCCCCAAACCACACCCTGGGGATCCCATGGAGCCGAGGAAGTCACAGGAGTCTCAGAAAGCAACTGTCCCATTGGAGAGAAGTCATGTTGCTCACAGCTGCTCTCTCTCTGGGCCCCATGTCCCCTTTGGTTCAGCAGGCACGTCCAGGTTGGGCACGGCCACTACCCCCGGGGCAAGTTCTGTGCAGCACCCTGAGCCAGGGAGAGCAGCAGGCGGCTCGGCATCGCTCGCCTACCTGCGGAGGGAGGCAGGGCCCCTGTCCTGCAGCAGGTCGGCAAAGCGTGGCACGGGGGACAGAATGCCACGCTCCTCCTCCATGTGGAACTGCGCGGGGGCCAGAGCGCCGCTGGACTCCTCCTCATCGCTGCCAATGGTGAACTGCAGAGACGACAGTCCTGACAGCGAGAGCCGGGGCAGGCAGCCTTCGGCCCAATCCCTGGCACGCAGGTCCTTCCCATATCCCCACCTCCTAGAATGGGCCACACCGCCTTCCCCTACGTTCCCCATACCCTGGGTTTGGTCATATGGAGCTCCCCTGTATCATCTACATCCTAAGAACAGACACATTGTTCTTCCTTCATGGGTCTTACACCCCCAAGATGGTCATGCATACCCTCCACAGCACCCATGTCAAGCAATGGCTTATCTATCACCATCCTCCAGTGCCTATCTCTGCTAGGCAGGGACAAAACCACTCTTCCCACAGCGTTGCACATCTACAACCTCTTCTGCCTGAGCAGCACATTCCCTTGACCAGGCACCCTGGCACCCTCCTGGCTTCAACTTTCCCTCCACCTCCTCCCAGCCCCTGAACCCCATCCAGGTAGGGATACCCTAGCCTTGCCTTTGGTTTGCTTGGGGGCTCCAGCTTAGGGGACGTGTCCTTCCCACGAGCTTCACACTCAGACTCTGCAGAGATCTCTTTCTCCTGGGCCTCCTCTGCCTCAGATTCTCCTTCTTCCTCCTCCTCTTCTTCCTCCTCTTCTCCCCCTTCCTCGTCCTCTTCCTGGATGGTAGGGGTGACCTCCGAGGGGGGTACTGAGGTTTTTTTCTTTTTCCTTCTCCTTTTTTTCCTCCTGCTGGCACGGGGGGGTCTCTTTTGGAACTTGAGGGCAGAGGGGAGGTGAGTGGAAAGGGGATGATGGATGTGGTGCGAGGTTTGGCGGTGGACTGAGAGAGAAAAAGAGAGTCAGGGGCAGGAAGAGGCTGGGAGGAACCTGCCAGGCGCCCCTCCAGGAAACAGCATGGTCTGGAGATCAAGGGCCAGGAAGGGCAAGGAGAGCCACCAGCCCGCAGGGACAGAGCAAAGCTTTCAGTGATGTGGCAAGCTGTGTCCAGCCTGGGGTGGCTGGGGAGGCAGCCCTCAAACAGTGCCACACCTCACCAGTGCAGCTCCACTGTCCTGGGGAAGGTAGGACTCCTCTCCCAGTGCTGCTGAAAGCCACACAGCTATGCAGAGCTGCAGTGACCTGCCAGAGGCACCATTCCCTTCCTAAACACAGGGAAACATTTCTCACATTCTCAAAGAAGCATGATTTGGGTCCTTTACAAATATTCTAGGGACATAGCTTAGTGGTGAACTTAGTGTTAGGTCAACAGTTGGACTGGATGATCTTAACGGTCTTTCCCAACCTAAATGATCCTATGATTTCTCTCCTGCATAGTGTTCATTGAGTTAATAGATGTCCCTTATTTATCCCCCAGGCTTTGACAGAAAGTTGCTCCAGTGTGCCCACAGGAAGCACAGACCAAGCCTTGTGCAGATGCAGCCTAAGTCCACAGGCTAGGCACTGTGAGGGCTTGCATCTACAAGGCTCTGAAATGCAGGTTCAGTTTAGCAGGCTGTCTTTTAAAAACCAGGGTAAAAAGCAGGGCAGAAGGACTTTCCTTTAAACTAATCTACAAAGAGAAACTCATACAGGCTCGACCAGGGTGTCGTGGGAATTACAGAGTGAGAAGAAATTAATGGCATTTCTGAGCCTTCACTCCAAAACAACGCTAATGCACCAGGCAGGGAACAGAGTAAGCTCTGCACCTCCCTGCCAGCGAGAAGAAAGCCATTTCTGCCAGGTCTATCCGCAGGCATAAAGCCTCCCATAGACAATCTGCAGGATGCACAGATCCTGGGGCTGCACCCGGAGCAGCTGAAACCACGGGGGCACCAGCCACTTTGCAAGGGGGCTTTGCTCAGCAGCTCTTCCTGAGGAATTGTTTCCAGTCTGTTTTTATTTGGTTCCTTCCCAGCTTTCCTGTGACATGGCAGCAAAATCTGTTTATAGTGAAAACCACCTTCAAAGGACGTTTTCAATGCAAGCTGTAACCTGCTCCCTGGGAGAGCCAGGCAGGTTCATTGTTCTGCTGTCATATTTCCTTTCCTTTGGTTTCTCAAGTCTTTTCTCCCTTGTTTCCCCTCTTGGGAACAGCAGGGATATTTCACACACACACACCCGGTTCAGCAGGAGAGGCTCGTGGCAAGATTAGAGGAGATTTGGAATAGTCAGACATCTGCAAATTGGAAAGACTTAGGGCTCTTTAGAAATACTTTTTCCTCTGAAGTGTTCTTTTCTTTAACTTAACTAGATGCACCCTGTTTCTTGCAGAAAGACCCTCCTGTCCTGCTGCTGCACTCCTGTAGGACTGCTCTGCACCCCATGAATAGGTCAGGCACAAAATTCTAATGTAAGAAGAAGCAAGGAAGGCTCCAACTGTACACACAACGCTCCTTCTGCAGCACAAAGCTGCTGGTAAGGACACAGCCCATCTTTCCTTTCTGGCTTGTTCACGTCAGCCCAAGCCAGAAACGTTCACATTTTGGATTAGAGGGAAACTGAAGCCTTGGGCTGCAGGGAAGGATGGTTATGGCAAGTGGCTAAGCTGGCACAGAAGAGGGAAGCACTGCTTTTCAACCCTGCACTCAGCCCTCCTCATGACTATGGATCATATCTCCACAGAGGTGGTCTGCAGGTGGGAAAAACATCTCTCTCCTGAACACCAAAGGCTTCATGCCTCCCTCATCTTCTTCCCTGTCCTCATGCAACTCCTGTGTGTCCAGCCCCTGCGCTCTTTTCCTGCTCCCTTCCTTGCACTGCCTGCCTGTATGGGAAGGTATTGCCAAACCAGTGTCCTAGACCTTTGATTACATGCCTCAGTGAACTTGATACAAGAGATATGAAAAAAGTAATTTGGATAGGGAGCCTAGAAGGAAGAGCCTGCATATTAGGAATTCTTGGCTTTGAACAGGGCAGGAAACGTTTCTAAACCCAGAGAGCATTCCCCTCCATGGGCTGGTATGTTATCTTTCAAAGTTTAATGACCTAATCAGTTCTTTCAACTTTATGAATATGAACTGCGTAAAACTTCTGACAACCAGGGTTGACATAGCCCTAGATAACAGGGATACATTAGAAGCTCAGAGGAAAACAAGCTTGATTCTGACAAAGAAAGGAAGACTTTCCTATTAAGAAACAAAACAAAACAAACCCCAAAAGTACAAATGTCTTGTCAAATTTCCCAAGAAGCTTCTGCCATGCATGCTCAAGCAGATCGTCTGTGTCCTCCAAGCCAACCAGCACACCTCTGCACGCAGGCAGGGCTTCTGAGCAGGTAAGTCCTACGGGCACAGGACGGACAGGTATTCAACCCACAGCAAAGCTACTAGCACCTTGCAGCCATGTGCATGAGTGACTGTGTGCTCGGGTGGAAAGTGTAACTTGAATGGAGCCTCTGTAGAGAAGCGGCAGAAGCAGAGAGTAGCAGCCGGGGTGCACTACAGTGACAGACTCCTACCACCAAACTTCTACAACAGCCATTGGAAATGAGTGGCAAAGCAGAAAACAGCCTGATGATGTACTTGAAATATAATGCTACCATCAAAGCTAAGCTGGAAAATAAGCAGTACCTGACCATGGAGAGCCATACAGTGGAAAACTCTCCCAACCATTGCTACTTCTCTACCACACAAGCAGGCTGCTGGACAGGGGCCTCTTCTTCCCGTCCTTCAAAGCTGTTACGACAAGCTAACCTGACCTGCCTACACCAGGCAATAGCTTATGGCCACTCTTGTGGGCACACTGATTTTACAGCCAAAGTGAGCTTGGGCAAACTGGTTGCCTTCATCATGGGAGGACAGTTAGAGGAATAAATATACTGATCAGAGGCGTTCAGGTGAGATAGCTGAAGCACTTTAAATTCACACCCCATTTTCAGTTTGCAGTCCCTTCTTTGAGCAGACAAGCCTCATGGTTTCATGGCTGCTATTTAGAAATACACAGGCATGTCTGACTGGAGCCATCTGCTTTCGGACTGGGGAGGACAACCTGGCTTCTGGCCATATTTGAATGTTTCTTTGCAGCCATATGGAAGGAAAGTAGTTTTAAACTGGGCATCTGAACATGGGGAAAGTGGCTGCAGCGGTCCCTGATGCTGGGTGAGCAGGTGAGCAAATACCTCAGGCTGAGCTTATGCTGCTGAGTGGGCTGGGCAGCAGCTACACCTGCAGGGACAGGGAAAATGGGGAACAGACTGGGAAGAGACCATGGGCACTGGTGCTAAGCTGGGTGTATGCAGCACTTGGGGAATGCTCTGAAGGAAGGAAGTGAATAGCAGGTTAACATGACCTGCAAGGTCTTGGCACAAGGCTGCAGAGCATGTGGGGCTGAGCAAGGGTTGGTGGTGAGGGTGGGAGTGGGTACAACGATTCAAACCTACATACATTCAAAATCTCTCTCGCTGTAGCTGCGTCTCTGCTTCTCCAGATTGCTTGATGCTGACTTGCTTATCAGGTCCCCAAATCTCTCGATTGACAAAGTCTTATCCAAGTCCTCATCATCCTCGGCACCAGGAGAGGCTTTCTCTGTGCGATCTCTGCCCTGCACAGAAATCGCCAGACAAGAATCAAACGCTGCAGACCCCTACAGCCCTCTGGATCCTCCTGCCCTGCAAACAGTGCTGGGCTTGCTGAGGAGCAGCAAGCTCTGCACAACAGGGCTGGCATGTAGTTTCTCACGTAGAGGCACAGGTCCGCTCAAAACCAAGAGCCAGAACAGATCAGCAAGCCTCCAAGCCACACTCTGCAGAGAAACCTTCGCAGTCCTCCATGCCTCCCTTGAGTAGCAGGTATCAAGGGATTATGTCAGTGCCTGTCTTTCCTACTAGAGGAGCACCGTAACTTTTGCTTAGCTGGAACTTCTCTCTCCTCACATCTAACTGCTGCCCTTTGGCCTTCCCCTTACCCCATCTGCCATCCCTCCCTTTCTTAGGCCTCCTCTGTATTTGCCCCTGGGAAACACTATCCCTTCTCTGGTAAGCTGCCCTTGGGTCAGTGACCACCCTGTGCCCTCTCACCTCCTTTCTGCACTCCTAGGGGCACCCCCAGTTCCCCTTGGCATTGCTTCCTTCAGGTTTTTCTGACTATTTTCCTCCTGTTTCAGGCTGTGGGCATTTCTCTGCCTTTTGCTGGAGGAGGTGCTCCAAGAAGAGCATGGACAGGTGACTCCTGTCCTTCCTGTCTCTTGAGCAGCTGCAGCTGGTAAAATTTTCCGTCAGTATAGCTGAAATGCCAGAGTGGAGCTGTTGTGGACTCCCGTGTTTCCATGGAAACAGGAGGAGGCCCAACTGTGTCGAATCTGTCTTTGCTGGGCAGAAAGAGGGAGCAAGGCGGCTATAGCTGCGTCGTGCCTCTCTTCACATCCCCCAGCTGTGAGTAGCTTTGTATCTGTGGGTGAGACTGCTTCTCCTCTCACCTTAGCACGGGTTTCCCAAGCCCAGTCTAACTGCAAGATGCCCAGCTGCTTGCGCCACTTGCCTACCCCACCCAAAAGCATGTTCACAGGAACACCACAGAGCAACCTCTGGCCTTTTCTGGACTGCAGTTTGCTGTCTGCATGGAGAGTGGATGTGGGCTTGTGGGCAGCCTCGGGGCCACCTTCCTGAAGACCTGTCCTCAGTGAATGGAGGCTGCGTCTCCTACTGCAGCAGGCTGCCAGGACACGGGTCCCACACTCAGCCTGGCAGGAGCACGGTCCCTGGGGCAGAGATGGCCCCGCCGCTGCTGGATTCCCACCTCACCTGCTGCAGGTCGATGAAGACATCTCCTATGGGAGGGGACTCTCCAGCTGCCATTTTGGTTCAGGACCTAAGGGCCTGGGCAAAATATCAACCCTTCTCTTTCACCGGCAAGGACCCAGCAAACCTGGAGAGTGGCATAACCTGTGGAGAGAGGGCAGGACAAGGGAATGTCGTGGGAGACCGCTGGCCACTGCCCTCAGCCCTCCCTGGCTCCTAACCCGGAGAGGTCACCTCGCCAGCCCTCGGGGAACCTCCCCAGCATCGCTATGGCAGGCCTGTCCCCTGGCACACAGCAGCGACGGGGCAAGAGCGTCCCAGCCTGCGCTGCTTTGTGCGCCAGCTCCAACTGTCCAAGGGCAGGTGGGACCCTGGGCTCCTCCGGGCGACCTGCTGCGCGGAGCGTGCGGGGGCCCACCAAGAGAGCAGCTACGTGTAGCTCCTGCACAGGCTGCGCGAGCAAAGGAACGGCTTCTGCGCAGCTGCCTCTCCAGCAGCACACCTGTGCAAAGCCAGGGCGTGTCTGACCACCGGGGAAGGATAAAGCTGGAGAGATCAGGTGCTGGGAGGGCATGCCAGCAGCAGGCAGCAGGGTGGTCCTGTGCCACCTGGCTTTAACTGAGCAGATCCCAGAACAGCCATAAGGAACCTCAGAAAGATCTGTGCAGGCCAGAGGTACAAAGACAAACTGTTCATCATTCAAACACAAAACACAAGACAACACGTTACAGGGAAAAAGGTCAACAGGACTGCAGATCTGTGCCCTGTCGGCACCAGCATGGCTGAGGGATGCGGGAGACCCCACAGGCAGCCCGAGGAAGGGCTCTGCTCAGTATAACACTGCAAGTGAGGAAGGCAATGAGGTGCCACGGTTGACAAGGAGTGGGATGGAGACTAATGCAGAAACAGCTGTAGTCACATCCTCTACAGCAACAGCGCAGGCTGAGCTCAGCATGAGCTACACCCCAGGAAGAACTGGAGGTGGCACAGAGACTGGCACTGGGAAGATACCGACCTCCAAAAACTCATCTGAAGGAATACAGAGAAGGAGAAAAGGTGTAAACACGCGCACAGTGCTTTGGACACAGGGACAAGCCAAGTGCTCTCATCTCACAGCACAGGAAAAGGGACGTTCGTTAAAACTTACAAGGGTAGAATACAAATAAATTCAAAACTGGGAAAACATTTTTTTCAGTGATGTCATTGAGGAGGAAAAAGCTGCAAAGTCACAGGACAGTTTGGCCATCTTTCTGGGTAACAAGTTGTCATATTTATGACAAAGAAAATTAAGAGAAGTTGAACCCATCTTTCAGGACAAGCTATTCTCCAGCTATGAAAGCTTTGGAAGAAGTATTATAGGTTATATCCTGGGCAATCTGCTGAGCAATTTCTTACTATCTCATCTGAAGTACCTAGTATGAGTCACTGTTTGATACAGGCCACTAAAACACTACAACAGATAGTCTAAAGGTGACACGAATAAGACCATTTCTATCTTTAAAGATCTCCAGAAAGCGCTACTACAGTCTCTGCTTACTCTACCTACCTGAAGGGCTTATTAAAAAAAAACCCAAACAACAAAAACCTTACTCAAACGAAAAAACCTGGTGCCACCTGTAAGACAAGTTTTTGAGGGGCTAATCTCACAACAGATAACCCATGCTGCCTTGCCCACCCTCCTAATTACCAGGAGCAAGGCAAAACTTAATGGAAGAAACCCCTCAAACACATCTCACTAGATTCTTCAGTAACTCAATGAGACCTGAACAGTCCGAGACAAATACCCAAACTACTCTGTAGATCTTAAACTGTAATCTTCAACTTTACGCCCTGTTTTCCAAGGAAGACTGAGCAAAAGGGTTATGAGACAACAGGAAAAAGGTCTGGAAATCATCTGTAAGCGGAGACTGAGATGCATTTTAGTAGAATGATAGAGGAAAGGGTAATATATGGCGCTTATTTCTTTTTGCATTTAGCTCAGGAAGAGGGTATCACTCCATGAAGGGGAACAGCAGCACATTTGAAACTGAAGGTGGGGAACGCTTTATTCCAGCAGGAAGAGCTGGCGGGGGAACCTGGCTGGCTCTGCAGTCCTGCAGGGCCACGGCACCGTCACTGTTAAAGAAAGGGCTGAGGATTTGTAAGGAACATAATATCCACAGCTATGGATTGCCTGCAAAACCATATTGCAAGCACCGCTACTTCAGGGGATGCGATGATGACGGGGCTTTGCATGGCAGCTCCTGTAGAGGCAGAATCCTTAAAAACTAGCAAAATGGTAAAGGCAATTTAACAACAACAAAAAAAAAATGCTAATGCTCAGCTCCGTCTCTGAGTCACTAAAGTGCCTTGTGGGGCCTCCAAAGGGAACCGCAAACTATCAGCAATGTTGTGAAACAATGCACTTTGTTTCACCTCAAGCTCAGGTTTGCCTGGAGCTAGGCAGAGGCTTGCAGGGTCAGCTGTGCTCTGGGCAGGAGGAAACGCTGGACGCAACAAACTCTGCCAGCTCCAGCTTTGCAAGATGTTACACTCAGTTTAGAACTACAACCTGACTGCCTAAACGAAGTTAAAAGGGAGGGGAAATCCAGTCTTTCTTTACTCATTGCAGCAGGGAATTCTGAAATATGCTGAAAATATGTCACTCTAATGACACTGTTGATCAGCTAAAAGCAAGAGAGATACACTAGCAGCAAAGTAAGAGAGCCCTTGGGACTTGCTTTGAAATTTCAGAGGGACTGTAAGGTGCCCACAGGCTTTTGCCAATCCCCTGCTCAACACCCTGTGAAAGCGGGATGCAGTGGGTGGGCACCCTGAGCTGGGGGACTTGGGGGCAGAGCTGCCGGGGGTCTGCCACTTTAGGGCTGAGAGGGGGGTGAGGATGGGGCCTAGGTTCTCCAGTCCTAACCCTATTGGCTTTCCTGCCTTCTCGAGAAGCACTGGTGCTCCCTTTTGATGCATTAATTGATGGCTGGCCACTAGAGGCCACTTGCCCCTTACTCTGTGCAACCTCTGGGAGAAAGGCTGGGTGGACACCTACTTGGATCTGGCCTGGCTTTCTGACTACCCACAACAGACAGAGTTCAGAGAAGAGCAACAAAAAATTGACAGTTGGCCAGAGGGATTCATTTATAAGGAAAGGTTAGGAGCTAAATTTGTCTAACGCAATATGGGATGACTAACATGGGAGGGGACAAGCCAACAGTCTGGAAAGATCTCAAGGGTGTAAAACACGACTAAAGATTTTTTTTTTTTTTTTTTTCCAGGCAGTCCTGCACAAAGAGACTTAGAAACGTGTTAAAATTTAAGAGAGGAACTTAGCATGAATATCAGGGAGAATTCTGCTAATGAGCATCATGCTGAAGCACCCAGCCTGCTGGCACCATTGCCTAGGCTGTCATAAGAAGAACACAGGACAAAAGGGGAAAGGAAAAAAAAACAAACCAAAACTAAATAGTAATGATAATTGAATGAATGATACCTTCAGTCCCACTGTATCTCCTGTTTGTCGGGAGTACGTGATTCAGCATTCCCACCAGAAGCAATTTTCAGTAATACAAGTGTCGTGCCAGCAGGCCAGATTCGAACGCAGGCCAGAAAAAGCTGCAGCCTGCCGACCCGGGCGCACTCACACCTCCCCGCTCTCCCCCCAGGCACATCAGGAACCAGAACCAGCTCGCCTAAATCACCACATCGTGGGCCAACCACCCAGGCTAAAGGAGCGCTGAAGGGAAGCGAGCAGGCGTGCCCCTGCGATGCCAGCAGCTACGGCATCTCCCACATGGTGCTAACAGGTACTCCAGCGGGGCCTCCCCTGGCCCCTACAGGCTGCTCCACAGTGCCAGTGCAGGAGCTTGCCCGTTCTGTTGAGAAAAATGCACCTGGGATGTCTTCGAGGGTCAGAGGCAAGCAGTTCACGCAGCCACTTTCCAATAAACATGAGTTGGGAGGGCTACACCAGGTTGCCCCAGCTCCATGGGCAAAGGGCCATGTGGAGGCAGCCATCAGGCCCTGCACTCATCTCTTCAGCTCTTCCCTAATCTCCTGGCCATCAGGCTGAGAATAATTTAGCTGTGGAGCGTCTAGACAAGGAGTGGATATTAAGATAGGGATAAAGCCATAGGGGCAAAGCTGGTTTGGGGATAGAGGAGGAGAAGAATCTTTTGGCTGGCAGACATAGTCGGGAAGAGCTCTAAAAGGAGACGGATTAGAGGCCTGGGAAGATTTTCCTGGGAAGACATACTGATGATGAGCCTGTCCATGGAGGAGAAGAGCAGGAGGGGTGCTGCTGCATAAACCAAAGCATTTGGATGCTGCCGTAACAGCCACAGCCTCCCAGCTGAATGAAACAAGAGTGGGCTGCACAGCCCCCACTTCTCCCCTGCCACAGCGGAGGAACAGGGACACACACACCCCAGAATGGAAAAGCAACACATAAGGCAGTAAACATACAAAGTTTCCAAGCATGAAGGCTTTAACCTTTTTGCCACATGGTTATGCTGAAATTAAGAATACAGAAGTATTTTATAAGGCTTAAATATTTCAGTGGCTCCTGTACCCTACTGAACTGGATAAACACGGATAAATCACTACAGCCGTTGGCTCCTGCAGCACCTGCTGCGTCTCCCGATTCTCCCTTCACAGAGCGATGGGACAGGACAGGACCACACGGCCCGCAGACACATACGCGAACACACGGGAACAAAACCTGCTCCAGAACGAGATGCCAGCACCACACAGTGACAAGGAGACACCCCTCCACCGGACGGACGGACAGACAGACATACGGACAGCCGGGGGAGCGAAGGGATGTGGGGATGCACTGCACCATGTACCGTGCCGCGCCGTGCCACCCGCGGGGTGCGGTGAGCGGGAGCCCAGCGCGCCGTGCTGCACCG